ACTCCTCTTTACAGATTCTCTCTAAATCCTTAAGGTTTCTTGGCTGTCGTTTGGCAACTTGAAGTCTCCGCTCCCTCCACAGATTTTCTATAGGATTGAGGTCTGGAGACTGGCTAGGCCACTCCATGACCTGAATGTGCTTCTTCTTGAGCCACTCCGTTGTTGCCTTGGCGGTATGTTTTGCATTTGCCCCTCAATGCGGTGAAGTCGTCCTGTACCCTTAGCAGAAAAACAGCAGCAAAGCATAATGTTTCCACCTCCGTGCTTGACTGTAGGGATGGTGTTCTTGGGGTCATAGTCAGCATTTCTCTCCCTCCAAACACGGCGAGTCGAGTTAATGCCAAAGAGCTAAATTTTGGTCTCATCTGACTGCAGTGCTGATCCCTCACCTTTCTCATGATCATCCTTACCCCATGAGGCAAGATCTTGCACGGAGCTCCAGACCAAGGCCGATTTATGGTTGTTTTGTATTTCTTCCACTTCTGAATAATCACACCAACAGTTGTCTCCTTCTCACCAAGCTTCTTGCTGATGGTCTTGTAGCCCATTCAAGCCTTGTGCAGATCTACAATCTTGTCTCTGACATCCTTTGACAGCTCTTTGGTCTTGCCCATGGTGGTGGGAGAGGTTGGAATGGAAGATACAGATTGTGTGGACAGGGGTCTTATACACCTAACAAGCTGACATTAGGAGTAACTTCTTTAAGTGACAAGACTAATCTGTGTTCCACATGGGCACATAACAAATCAGTGGGAGCCAGAATTCTTGCTGATTGGTAGGGGATCAAATACTTATTTCACTCACTGAAATGCATATCAATTTCTAACCTTATTATAATGTTTTTTCTGAATTTTTTGAATCGGCAGGGGATCAAATTAATATTTTCCCCTCTGTATATAATATAATATAATCTTTTGAAAGGGAGAGTAACAAACAGGCTTTCCACAGGTGAGAGTAATATAATTTATTTTGTGAGTCACATGATTAGCTGTCATGTGTAGGTACATTCACACAATGTTGTAGTTACCAGATTCCAACTCAGAACTCATAATTACAACATGTAAATTGGGAATTTTTTTGAGTGCTATGACTTGTACCATGTGAACGCTGTACCACCTGACTGCCGCAGATTAATTTTGATGTTAGGTTTAGTAGAGGTGGGAGAAAAAATCGATTCTCCGATGCATCGCGATTCTCTCTTCAACGATTCTGAATCGATTCAGAAAATTTCAGAAATGATTCTGAGCATGGTTTTTCCCGCATGGCACGTGTGTGCGCTATAGACAACCGCGGCGGGCTTCATTGCACAGAATATGCACTGTGAGACACGTGCGCATTGCTTGACAGTGTGTGTGCTTCCACCCGTCGTTATTTCAGTATTTTACTTTAGATATGATTTAATTTATGCCGTTTGGAATGCAGTACGTATAAGATGCACGAAACTCACGTACTGACTAGGGATTGGTCATGATTTTTGAATATTCGATTAGTTGATTTAATTATAGAATATCGAATAGGTTGTGCGATTATTGTCTTAAAATAATTCCCCATGTTTTCCATGCAGATACTGTGGTGACGCGTTCATGTGGCGCTGCCAATAATGCACCTAAAAGCTGTCAAAGACAACAGAAGAACACATTGTCTCACGCGCACACTGTAGACTTGCGTGGCATAAAAAAAGACTTGCGTAGCATATAACGGTTACAGTAACTTGGGACGATGTCAAATAAGAGTTTTGTGTGGACCACAAACTCCCCCGACTGGGTTAGAGGTGTGGCTGAATCCGTAATTCCGTATTCAGAAAGGTGCGGACAACAAAACTCATTCTACGGAGCCACCAAAGGGACATGGTTAGCCGCTTGCTAGCACATTACAGTACATAACATTTCACTTACCACAAAAACGGA